ATGTAATTATTTTTAATTTGGGCCCGTATTTGTAATTATTTTCACTTTCCGGGCCCTTATTTGTAAATTCCCCTTAACTTTTATTTGTGATCTAGAAAGAACAATACCGCACGTATAGAAAAGACAAAGATTAAACTGGACAGTTTCTATTGCTATATATACGTTTTTCACTAGTCAGTATATGAAATGTCGAAGGCTTAAGCAAGCTTTTTGAATGAATTGACATTATTATGCAAGAAATATATTGTTGTCTAAAATAAATTGAACTGTTTAATCGTATGTGATCGAAATTAAGAATTGATTTGGTATGCTTTTATTAAAGTATTACTCAAATTATTATAAGAAATTGTCATTAAAATGAATATCTTGTTTTAATTCGGCTAAAGATTTTAAATAATCATTTAGAATCAGAAAGAAGAGTCATGCGATCATGATCCTGATCATGTGGGGCTGCCGTCAATAGAAATAAGGCAGATTAAAATTTATCATATTGATCTTCACAGCTCATATCTTTTGATGGATTTTGAGGCTATCTTAATAATTTAATAGTAAAAAGAAAGCTCACGATCTAAGCTTGCTTTTTACTATTAAATCATCAAGATATGAGCTGCGAAAGTTAAGGTATTGATTTTTTTAAAATGTTAAACTGCCTTATTTCTATTGACGGCAGTCCATATGTTAAAGTTTCAGTTGTCCAGAATTTATGAGAACAGTTGAAAAGCCTGATGAAACGTTATGTAAAATCAATGAGATTAATATTCCCCAAAAATTTCTCATTGATACAGTATCAATTTTCGGTAATACAGCTTTGGTAACCGTCATTTTAACTGTTTATCAATCGATAAAGATTCTTTATAAGATAATCACCTAACGTCGTCAGCAACAACCTTCTGCTAAGAATATAGTTCTTCAATCTCAATCCAGTCAGTTTAACACACACCATGCCCCAAAAGACTTTCCATAGCATCGAAACCTTATTAATTTTGGTGTTTTCACTGTAGCCAGATGAGTCGGCAGCTTGACCCCACCAAGTATAGTACAACTGTAAAAGTATCAATTACTGTATTGGCCGAAAATTGCGATTAAAGTCGTCTTGCTCTGTATTGGCTAGTGTTCCGCACGGACCGGTTCCGGGCGGGTCTTTCAAGGACCCGGACCCGAACCGAAAAATCGGGTCGGGTCCAAAATGAGACCCGGAACCGAAAAAACTTGGAACCGCCGGAATGCAGCCAATCAGCGTGCGCTATTTGGTTTCGGTTCGGGTCTAACTAGAGATCTGGAACTGGGTTTTCTAAAAATCATGGATCCGGATCCGAACCGGGGTTCGGTTCCGGGTCTCCGGTTCGGTTCTGCGGAACACTAGTATTGGCCATAGTTGCTGTAATATTGTGATTAGTGCACCTAATATTTTGGCAAACGATGAAAAATTGAGAATTATGAAAAACCAATTAGAATTCAGGATTTTATTAACACCCAGACATCAAGTTTATTATTATTCCCTTTCCGTTACAGCGTTAGGGTTGCAAGATAATATTAGAATTTATCTATATAATAATGTCAGCAGTATCCTTCGGACAAGCAATATATTTCT